TATTTTTTAAAGTAATTTGTTCGAGAGTAATTCGAATTGAAGGAAAGTATCTGTCGGCACCATACCGTGACTCGTTTAGGTGAAACATTATAGAATTATGCTGAGCTCAAAAATATGAAATTAATTCATTTAAAATTGATAGTTGTTGGTGTAATGGAAGATATCATGTACTTTAACTGAACATTTTATATTCAGTTGAATTAAATTTTCGTTAGCCTAATGCTAATAACATCACAATATGAATAGCTCTACAACAAATATTGACTTAACAGGCTTTTGCATTTCAATTTAATGAGATGCGGTGCTAAAACTTTCACTTCTCGCAATGAAAGTGAGAACTTGCATGGAGTAATGAAATCAGTCTAATTAATAATAGATTTTTACATCGCAATGTCTGAAAAAGCAACTCAAATATTAAAACTAATGTAGAATTAATGAAAGCAAACATACAAACAACGATTTGTAAAAATAAATATTTAAATTTGGAGCAAAATTTCAATGTCAAAAACTGGCAGGTGCTTAAAAAAACAGCTGCCACCAAACTAATATGCTCCACTAAATAGTTTTGAAAACATTTTCTGACGCCTTTTCGCTCAAAAAGTTTGCTGCAGTGAAGTGTGTGTGTGTACCTTAACAATTTGCAAAGAGCATTTAAAAGCATTTTCAAAGCAATTAGCACTCCAACGGCCAGCTGTAAACTATAAAAAGGTAAACAAGCACAGAAATTATGGCGAGTGAAGAAGGTAACCAAATAAATATGAATGAAGCCAGCCACTAAGTATACCATTTAGTTGAGAAAAGGTGTTTCGTCACAAAAAAATAAACTTTGAAAAATATATTTTGCTGGAAAAGCATAAATCAGTGTGGCACATGAAATGCCTGAGGAATTTCGCCTGCAATAAATAGAGGTGTTAAAGCTAATTAACGCTGCTATTTAAACATAATCTAGCATACGTCAATGCGTTGGAAATGTTTAAGTTTACATTTTTAATCCAACATGAAATGCTTTGGAACGCCTTACTGTGTGATATATTGCATTTTAGAGCGCTTAATTCAAGGGGTGTCCACTGAACATAGACAATATAAGAATTCATTATTGGCCATCAATGTTCCGCTAGATTTTAATTCGTAGGTATTTTTACATTTTTCTTCAAAAGTCTAATGAATATATTTACGAAAAGGAGGTATTGTGAAACGGTAATGCAGTAAGTTAGATTAGGTCATGTTAGATGACTGATTCTCTAAGACGGCGACGAATCCCAGTTATATCTGTTCAATACAATTTTTTTTTTGAAGCCGGCTAAATACTCCTGTAGTAGTTGGATATTAAATCTTGACAAAGCGTCTTGAATCTATCACAAATCTCCCGAGGTACTTTTTTTCAAGTGCACCCATTTCCACTGGTTGCCTAAAGATTAAAATCCGAGTTAGTTCAGCCTTGGCGGGGCATTTGCTAAAGAAGAGTTCAGATGATTCTATCTCATCATATTCTAAGCAGCTTCGACGAATACGGCTGGCATCTGGTGCGAAAATTTCAATATTAACGCATAAATTTGAATAGGTAATCAATTAGAACTCCAATAACTATTTGAAGGCGAACTTTTCTAAAAGAAGAGTTCAAATGCAATTTGACCACGCACCTAAACCGGTCTAATCATCACGTAACTCGATGCGAGATATGGAGTCGAGATATCTCTCACAAGTCTCGAGTGTTCGATCAAAGTGTTGAAGACTAACATAGCCGCCCTACTATCAGAGTGGTTACGGGGATTCCAGAGTACTTTCGCTCGCAGTCATCTTTTGCTTATCTCAAGCCGGATCAGCTTTTGCGGCCACACACCTTTATATATCCACGGATGATTTGTAGCCTCTGAGAGCCTTGGGTTAAACAATTACTAACTTCTTCGTAAGCGTAGTTTTTTCCAGTTCCTTCCACGTTATAGGCTTTGCAATGGACTCATAAAAGCAAAGAACGATGATTCTTGCTCTTTCTTCGATACAAGGATCCCATGAAAGATTCCTAACCCTGAATTACGTTTGAGTTAACTACACATTGTATCTAGAAATTTCCCGTTAAACACAGTAGCTATGTCATCTGTAAAAGCCATTTCACGGCAGTTAGCTTCCTCAAGCTTTTTTTCCGAAAATCTTTGCCAGCGATGATCCATAGAAGTGACGAGAGAAGACATCCCATGAAAATATAATACTGTGATCCAAAAGTGAGATGATTATCGGGGTGTGGTCTACTTTGAATTCCTGCCGCCGGCTCAAACTGTTAATAGAGAATATTATTTCAGCGTTATGCGTCGTTTCCTTCAGGATATTCATTTGAAACAACCAGAATGACATACTGCATTGGTTCTTAGCGATTTTTTTGTCAAAATCTCGACCCTTATCGTTCGGCAACTACCGTATTCGATCTTTGACTCCGTCAGACTTCGGGCTATTTAGTAAACTCAAAAGCCTAATGCGGTGTCGCCATTTTTGCACGATTGAGGAGTTAAAAAACCGAAGAAAAGAGATCTAACCGGAAAAAACTATTCCGACAGGTTTGAGAATTGCAAAAGGTGAAAGGTGGATTGATTGGTAAAGTGCGTTCTATGGAACGAAGATATCTTTAAAGCGAAAGAAATTCATTTGGTAAGTAAGTAAAGAACTTACTTTTTATAAACAAATTCACCTCACTTCACTGCACTTTATCAAATAACTTCTAATTCCATAGATGTTTAAGAAAAAATTACGAAAAGCCCTCATAATCGCGAGATAAATAAATATTCCTACAATTGCACCTTGGTTCAAAGCCTAAATTACCAAGGCAATCATTATTTATTACTTAACTCCTCTCTACAAATTTCTAGTCCCATTATTGCTGTTTTTTCCATACTTTCTTCTCTTCCAACACATTTCTTCTTTTTATTGTCCACAATCAATCGAAATCGCGTTATAATGTCAAACGTTGCGCTGTGCTGGCGCTATTGATTAGCCACCGATAAGCCAGTGCAATTTGCATAAGAATAAATTTGTATATTGAATGTGAAAAAATGAAATCAACGAAGTACAAAAAATGTAAATCCACCCCATTGGTGATACCAGGTGAAATCCGGAGTGCCAAGAAGAGGCACGGCTCGTCATTGTGGTCATTAAACGACGCTATGATAAATGTGGCAGGCCGGATAAATGTAAATATTACACAATAAGTAAAAGTTTGCCACCACTAAATGCTAATCACTAAACATTCATCAATTCCGGCAACACTGTCAATTATTCATGTTTTTCTGCCGGTATTTCATGTTTCTGACGTTGCTGTTGTTCTGATAATAGAGATTTACACATTACACTCCAGGGAAATTAACGGCAACAAACATTAAATGCCAAAGCTATCAACAGCTTAGGCGGAAAAAATTCTGAAAATGCCAACTGTGCGGTTGTATGTTTTGTACCAGCCGCAACAACAACAGTAACAGCTAATGCCACACTGACAGCATGCAAAAGTCAAACAGTTGTGCGTATTTTTTTGAAAAAAAAGAACATATTTATTTAAGGGATTTACTTGACAATGTATTTTGGCCAGGAAGCCGCAGGAATTCAATACATACTAATTCGCTACTCTCGGGTGGGTTGCCTCGGGTGTCAATCACTCAACATTTACATGCTAAACAAATATATTTAAAAAGTGATTTATATGTTACTTTGTGGATTTATTCATCTGTGGTTTTCGTTAGGTAAACATTTGTCATGTTTTGTTGATATTTATCAGAAGAAGATTATTTAGAAGCTTGTGTAGACTTTGTTTTAGCTAGAAACGATTTATTTTAGTACTTTAAGATTATTTTTCAAAAAAAAGTAAAAACGCGAAGACAATTAAATATCAATGAGAAGAAGGAAATAATTAATTTTTACCCAAGTCACACTACTATTTGAAGCATACATTTAGGGGCATAGTTAGCGTACTTAGCGAAGTCACATACCTAATCTTATGAAACACTGTATGAACTAAACAGTTTTAGAAATATTTTGAAATATAATCTTATTTAATAGTAATAGTAGTAAAGCAAAGGATAAAGCAATGTATTGGAACAGCTTATAAAATGTAAATTAATGGTTCAATTGAAGATTTTATGATAAAAAAAAAACTAATAGAAGACTAATAATGTCGTTTTATTTATCAAAAAAATTAAAAAGAGAATACATCGATATGCTAGACAATGAACACGATGAGACACTTCAGTTAGTTTTCTAAGCTTTCACACCAAGCGTCTTTACAAACAATTACATATCCGTAGAATATTTTTTCCCAGCGCGAATTTGGTGTACTAGGCTATTGCTGTTAGGAACTTGCAAAGACTTTCTTTATTTTATATAGAAAGGATTTAAGTACTTTACTCTTCCTAAAAACACAGAAAGACAATTAAGCAAGAATGAAGAACAAGATATTAATAACGAGGAAATATTTAATTTTTACTGAAGTCACAAATCTAACTAAAGCATACATTTAGGGACATTGTTTTCGTACTTAGCGAAATCGCATACCGAATTATTGCAACACTATATAAGCTAAACACAAGCGCATATCATTATCAGAAATAGATTTTTTTTATAGATAGATACCGTTCCCAAGACAGTCGGGTCTACGAAAACCGGAACGGTCTTCGGTAGAAAGACAGAAGAAGATACGAGGACTACATATTCGGCATCAGAGAAAAGTTATGCTCCGATTGTGACTATCTTTAGACGTGAGTTGTCATACTTTAGGCGCACTATTCCTATAAGGTTTTATTCAATATACATAACTTTAGTAGTACTTGATTTATATATTATAAAAAAACAATATGTAACGTAAAAGATCCATTCCCCATTAAATTTTAGGTATATGTGTTTTTTCTTAAAAAAAAAAGTAGGGAACCTCGAAATGGATTACCCCTTATATAAGTAGGATATATGTTACCATTCAAGTTTTATATAATAATTTTAATTATCTGCATTTCTTCTAATGTTCACAGTCTGCAATTGCAACAACCACGCTCGACAATGTCGCTTCAATATGGAACTATTTAAGCTCTCCGGACGTATCTCTGGCGGAGTTTGTGTAAATTGTCGGCACTTTACCACTGGACGACACTGTCACTACTGCAAGGAAGGCTACTACCGTGATCCAACTAAGAAACTGAATCATCATCGTGTATGCAAACGTGAGTAGGACAAATTATTTTAATTTAAAAAGGAGAAAAAGTGGATTTATAGCTATCATAAGCTATTAAAATATGTGAGAGAATAAAAATATTTCACTTCAAATTTATGCCTTAGAGAATATACGGGATCTCATATAAAAAAATAATGATGTCATTGAAAAACTCTACGAGCTCCCTCAGTTTTTTCTAATAAAAGCTTACTGAAAATTTCGCCCCAACTTAAAAAAATATAAAAATATTTGGTTATATCTTTAAAGCACCACCTAATTGAATCCATAAATATTTACAAACATAAAAGTTTTTGTTTTTCTCAAATGAAGTCAACAAAATCGCGACATAACAAGTAAAAGTAATAACACTGCTACCGTTCCTAATGAACAATGCAATAAAAGTCAAAAAATTAAGGAGAAAAAATCATATAAAAATTTGTGGCAACATTTATGGGTTGCCGCTAATTTCAACAATGACAATTAGACACTAATTTAAATGGGGCCATTAAAATATTTGTGGCATTTGCTGATGCCGCCAAACGGCCAATCGCTGAGCGATGGAACGACGCTCTCGATTTTCAAATTTTTTTAGATAAATTAATATTGACAGATTTTACAAAGCGCGCACAGTTGGACTCCTTGGCTATTTAGCATTAATTTTTGCTTGTTGTTGTTATAATTATTATGTTGTTGTTGCTAGCATTATTACTCTTTTTGCTGTTGCGACGACAGCTGCGCTACGCCTAATTATTTATGGGCGTTCGGTGAGTGGCAAATTGTTGAACACACACAAACATACATAGTATACATACAATAATGCTAATCCAAAAAACATTTAAATACATATTTACATGTCATAAATATGCATAAGTCTGGCCACTTAGCTCTTAAGTTTCTGTTTTGTTGTGTGCTTTTTAAATAAACTGATAGCTGATTTTTATTTACATATGTATATTTTTAACAAACCGATGCGCTTGCACTTATGATCACCAATAGAAATCAATTTAACACTCGTAAAATAATGGAAGTTGAAACAGGAATTTCGTAGCTTTTTAGCAACTATTAATTAATTTGTGATGAAGTGAATGCGATAAGTGTTTGCCGCCCGAGTTGTGTGACATAAATTTGCTGCACATTAATTTATTCATTAGCAACAAGCGAAATAAAATCAAAACATTATATGTATATTATGTAAACAAAAACAATATGTAAAAGGCGCAGATAAGAATCGCTGTGGGTATTCGGTTTCAAGAATCTGAATTTGAGACAAGAAATAATTTCGTAAATATTTTTATTAAGTTTGATAAAGCTAATGGAAGAAAAAACATACTAAATTAATAACTAATATATAAAAGTAACATTTAAATTAAGTCTGATTGTTCTAAAGGTAGGTCAGTAGTTTTTTCAATAACCCTATAAAAGTAGACCGATGGGGACAGAAAACGGCGCAATATTTTTTCCTCCCTTTTAGCAGTAAGGTTTGCCATTTCATTGTGAAAAAATATACGATCCAACACGAGTCAAAATTATTCAACTTTACTACCGATATTCGGAGTCAGTAACCTCAACTCTAGCAACGCTACGTTCAATTTATGGTCATTAAAATCGCCCTGTCAGATCAACAATTAAGCGTCCAGTGGAAAAATTTTAATCCACAGGCACAGTACAAAAGGTTCCGTGCCAGTGAGACTAAGAAGTGCACGTAGAATATTGCTGCTGGCGCATAAATTGAGGAAGACCCAAAACAGTCTGTCACACATCGTTCTCAAGACCTTGGCCTACATCCTTACAAGATCGTATTGATGCAAGAACTGAAGCCGTTTGACCACTAGTCATATGTTCGCGAATTGGATTGAGCAACAACTGATACGGATTTTTATCGAAAAATCATCTTCAACGATGAGGTTAATTTCTGGCTGAATAGCCTCGTCAGGATAATATGGACTTGGGCAATATGTGACGTCGTTAGACTATTTCCTGTGGGGCTACGTCAAGTCTATGGTCTATGCCAACCGGAAGCGACCTAAATCGGTTCCTCATGATTACTTTATAGAGTCTACGTCTCCTTCTTAATGTAACAAAATTTGTGCCAAACTTCATATACTCTGTTCAGGGTTTAGCTAAGAATAGAAGGGTCTGAGAGCTGATGTATCAATACAAAATAATCAGACACATATATATATATATATATATCGATATTTTCGATATAAAATCAGCCGACACTACTGAAGACTCGTATTCAATATATATACTGAAACTTGTAAAGACATGAACCGGTTTGTATAGTTTACCTAAACTAGAGAAGACGTGAACCGTTTTGAAACATTTTTATATGTAAGTTAACACATTTCAGATGCATTATTTATGGAGTGTGTATTTTCGACATCGTTGCAGATTTCTGAGATTTGACTTATTTTTAAAGTTTTGTTACGGCCGAAGAGTTTCTAAGGTTTGCATTTTCACAGTCATTACGCAATATTTGAACCACATGCAGACTTTCTGTTTTCTTCTTGTTGAAATATAGAGGTAATGGAGGCAATTTCATCCATATTTACATAGATAAGTATGTAGGGATATATCGATAAACAAAAACACAATAAATCTCGATTTATCGACTGAAAAACACCGTGTCTAGTTTCTACTCCAATATATACAACAACTTCTAAGCTTATTGAGGTACCCAGAATCTCCAATAATGCGACATAAATCATTTTTTATTCACTCCTTCTATACTCTCACCAATTGCCGCAACACTAAATTCCCTCAATCATCCAAATCGCAGTGAAGACATAAACAATAACTTTCACACATTCCAAGGTCAATTTACGTCAGATAACTTCTACTTTACCACTGCAATGGAAGCAAAAGCAACTAAAACACTAACTCAAGCACAAAGAACTAATTTATGGGCAACAATTGATCTTTGCAAAGCAAACAAGTCGCTTATTGGCAAAGCAAATGTGCTAATGATGACAGAAGACGGCAAAATAGAGTTAAAAAGAAAAAGAAACTTAGAAGTAACAACACCAACAATGGTTGAAATAATAAACAAAAGTATTGAAATGCGAACTAAAAATACAACAAAAACATGGCACAAATAAGAGCAAGTCAAACTGTAACACATGGCGTATGAGTAACTGCTGGCCAATAAAGCCGTGCAACAGGCCATTTTGACTTATTTGCATGGGGCGCTGTAATGCAAACGTATCTATGTGTTTGTGTGCATATTTCAAGTATTGTGGGCGGTTGAGCGGCTTGTCCAGCAATGCAATCACTTATAGGCAGAAACGTGCCACACGCACCCAAAGAGCAACTACAAAGCAACTGTTGACGATTGCAATCTCGCAGCAAGGCAGCCAAAYACACACACACACATACTTGCATATATGTATGTATATGTGCATGAAGGTGAATATGTAAATACTTGCAACAGTGCAGCGCTCCGTTGGCTTTTGCCAGGCTTGCCAATGTTTATTTTGACTTTTGCACATTGCCAGCTGTTGTAGTTCATTAGCCGTTGTCAATTGCTGTTGTTGGATGCACGCAACTGCAACGTGCAGCACAATTGTCTTTCAACTTGCAGGTATTTCAACTTTTGTTTTTATTTTTCATTTTTATACAGTTTCCATTTGAGCTTTTGTGTTTATAACGCTCGAGGCTGCACTGCTTTGTGATTGCGGTGGTGGTGGTTATTGCTTTTAATTTTGGCTTTTGTTGCTGTGATTGCATGTTCTCTTCTGGTTCTAAGTCATTCTAGTTAGCATATTTAACGAAATTAATGGCCTTACGATTTCGTTACTTTGGTTTACAATACATCAGACCAGCTGTTTGCATATATATAGACTTATGTTCTTTTGTATTCGCATTTCTGCTCGCCTGTCTGTAAATTTTTGAGGGCAAAGTGCTAAAAGTGTGAATGCAAATTAGCAGTTAGTAGCTTGTTGAACTTTTGACTTTCAAGTTTCTTTTGACTGATTTGATAGTAATCTTTTCGACTTGTTTCGGGGTATGGACATTCATTAGAATGAGTATATTTGTGATGTTATTTATGTTCGGTATTGTTTGGCACTATTTCCCCTGGATGTCTAAAAGTATGGATCTATCTAGCAAATACTAAAAGAGAGAGGCCACTAGTCCTCCTAAGATTTACCCTGAACCAGAAGAAAATTGTGATTGCAAAAATACGCGCTAGGCGCTGTACTTTCCAAACTCGCCTGTGGTTCAATCATCAAGTAGGGAACCGCACGAAGATATTTGTATTCCTACCAGTTCTCATACTGCGGCCAGTGAGACTGAAATGCCTGATCTAGTAAGCTCATGAGCCCTACAGTTTGCTGCAATTCGCTGCCGCCAGTCACCAAAATATCTCGTAGTCAGAATTAAAGAGTCGAGACATCTCTTCACCAGTGTCAAGCGTACGATCAGCAAGCTCTGGACTAATATAGTTGCATTCTACAAATAAATGAAATCTTATTTCAAAGACTTACATATGTAGTAATTAGGGGATAATTCTTTTCTGAGCTTTTTGAAGTGTTGAGTAGCCTAGCAGAACGTAAAAAAGTACACCTCATCTGGGTACACGGTCACAAAAGGATAGCCGGGAATAAACTGGTTGATAAGCTCACCCACTGTGCAGCTTCTACTAACATGATAGAACTTGAACCCTTCATCGCGGGGGGTTCTCATATCATAAAGGAGCTGGAGGCAGAGCGAGATATTGGCAATAATTCCAAAGCCATGTCAAATTGCGATAGGGGGGTTCCAAGCTCAGCAGGTTTAATTATATAATCAACTTCACTAGTAACAAAACCTCAGGCTACTTGTCGCATTCAATACTGGCCATTGTAAGAAGCACTTATATAACATGGGCCTAGCTTCTTCTGCAACATTTCGGTTCTGCGACAGGAAGCTTGAAACTCCAGAACAAAAGTCTCCAAAAAAAGATCATATCGCCTCATTAGCATCTATCATTATAATTGGAATTTATCAAATTGCTGGGGCGAGCTAGGT